TTTATACTTTATTCTCAGTTCTGCGCTTTATTGCGAACTATAGGCACGAGAAGCCATCAGATCCGGATGATCCGCTTTCCACACAGAATATTAGAGACAGATACTACGGAAGTAATGATCCAGTCGCTGAAAAGATTATGAACAGAGCAAAGGTACCTTTTTTACCTTTATTTTCCATTATCCCAGCAGCCGTTTGTTATTGGTAATGTACCAATTCAGTGATTTTGACTACGCCTCCATAAAATCACTTTTTTAGGCACTACCAGCTCTGGAACCGCCTGCAGATACGACTATCACAACATTATATGTGGGCAACCTTGGGCCAGCTGGACAAATCACGCAGAAAGATTTGAAGTCAGTTTGGTGTTTATTCTGGTTGATCTGAGTGATTGTATCTCTTTCAGCGACTATTTCTACCAGTTTGGAGATATCCGAAGTTTACGATTATTGGATGCAAAATCTTGCGCATTCATTCAGTTCACTACGAGGGAAGCTTGTGAAATGGCTGCGGAAAGGTCTTTTAACAAGCTCTTTTTGAAGGTTAGTTGCTTCTTATGGAAAATTTGGATTATGATTCTGTAGATCTATTCTGCTGAATTGTAGGGTCGCCGTCTTGTGATTCGTTGGGGTCAGCCACAGGCGCAGCGATCAGTTGAAGAACGTCCTATCAATCCAGTTCCATCGCTTCCAAATCGTGAGTTTTTAGTTTTAGCTGAAAGATCATGTCTATGGTAGTGTCTTCATTCAAATTATCTTTACTCAAATGCAACAGTTATTGTTATAACAACAAATTTACTCAATGAGTATTACTTAATAACATATTGCGTTTTCAATAGTAAAAAGTAGTTAAAACTAGCTTAGAACACAAGAAATTTGATGCTTTTGCACATTTTTTTCCAATATGCTATTTTTCTATTCTTTTCTTAAAGGCAAATCTGGACGTATGGGGATCTTACGTGGAAAGTAGTCTTAGGACCCTAACTAACTGACCAAGGGCAGCTCGGATGATGCCCTCACCGCCGAGATATTCGCCTCCCTGGGCCCCTGGATCG